ATTAAAATTCTAATATCTTAAATAACCAATAGAGTATATAAATAGAAAAATATAATAATTACGGATTAAACAAATTATTTTGATTTAAGGACTTGGTTTTTGAAGCATTCAAATTTCATTTTTATCACTACATTTTATATTGTTTTTTTTTTAAATACTAATTATTGTTCTGCAGTACTTCTAAAACAGGATAAGTCCAAATAAAAAGTTGAGTTCTTAACCTGAACGAATCCGCTGGAAATATTTTTTTCTTGACCAGTTGTCATTTTCTTTAGTCTCATTGGTGATCGTTTTAGGTTTTTATTTTGCAGTAAAGTACAACAAACTTCAAGAGAAAAAAAATTCTGACTAAAAATGTGCCAGAAAAAAGATTAGTTGAATATTTTACAAGCAAAATAAGCCTCTTCTTTAGCTTAAGTGGAGAAAATGTAAACTGTTTATCAAAAATCTAATATCTTAAATAACCAATAGACTACATAAATAGAAAAATATAATAATTAGAGATTAAACAAATAATTTTGAATTAAGGACTTGATTTTTGAAGCATTCAAATTTCATTTTTATCACTACTTTTTATATTGTTTTATTTTTAATACTAATTATTGTTCTGGAGTTGATGAACACTGTTCTAATAAGAGAGAGTCTTTTAAGGTTTTTTTGAAATGTGACCAAGTTTTTTGTTTCAGTGAATTTAATTTAATTTATTTCCATTAACATTAATTACAACACAAAAATTTCCAACATAATATTGCGCACTATGGGCTTCACAGTCTCTGTACACTTGACATGGTCCTGAAAATATTTTTGCAAATTCCTATGTTGCAAAACAACACAATCCAATTCGTGACGAAAATGGCTGTATCCGAGGTCATGGGCAAAATTATTTTTTGCTTTAAATATTATAACATTTAAGGATTATTAATAACAAATTCAAAAGGAATGAGTTGTAAAAAACATATAACAATAATAGACAGAGACTATATCCACACAATTCGTACTTAGCACAAAACCAAATTATTATATTATTTATTAGCCACTGCTTAAGTTTATTTTTTTAAAATGGTTTATTCTTAAGTTCAACGGGTAACATGTTAAATATTTTTGGTAGCCTTTAAAAAATATATTTTTGGCATTTAGTTATTCTTACAATTAATATTTTGTGCGTGTCTCGTGATATTTTGTGTTACTTTGTGCAAGTATTTTTGATTTTTTCGGCCAAATCTTACCGCTGATTTTATATACAATTGATTAATTCGTAATACTCGGACTAAATGAATCTATACTAGAATGAATTTTGTTTTTATTCAGCATCATCTTCAAGACATATTTTTGAGTAACAATCAAGGTTTCAATGATGGTACACCTTTCTTAGCATTTTTGTAGTCATAATCTGTCTAAGTTGATAATTATTTTTTTTAATTTTATATTATAATGAATTCAGGATATCTAATTTTATTAGTTTTATTCAATTCAATCTTCAGTCCTAAATATAATAAGCGTCTTTTCATAGTCAGTCCCTCTGTCACTACATTATCATCATAGAAAATGAATTCCCCAGGTAGAGATTTATTGTTGAAGGTCATCTAAAGTTTCCTTAACAAAATTGTTTAAGATAGAAATAATTTCGTTGATCCTTCTTTAAATATAGTGAGCTTACAGAAAATGAAGCTGCTTCATATTATTAAGATTGAACTTCACTTATAAAACTGTTCTATTAATATATACGTAGGAGTGTAGTAGTTACCTGTCAGAGTAACACTATCTTTTTAAGTAACCAAAACTAACCATGTGATAGATACTTCTAATATATTTTCTTTATGCCTGGAAACAATAGGTCTCTTTTTGGGCAGTGTCTATCGATTTTGGTTTTTGGAATATTGTTGCAATTGTAACAGATTATTTTAAATTGTTTTGTTGTTACTGGGTCTCTAGTGGACATTATTTAAAAGTTTATTTGGTTCGGACTATGCAGTAGAGCGGAATCAGCCTGGTTTCACGATACGTAACAAAATCGTTAATTTTTAAACATGCTTTTACGTCGTTAAATAATAAAATCGGGCGCTAAGTTGAAAGACACGTTAAAAACCAGCTCGCGGGACGCTTTAGGCCTTTTTTTTTTCGTTGATAACAAATTTTTATTGACATTTAGAGCCGGCTTTAGTGCCTATTACTTTTATCTTCAACGCCAACACAATTTTACCTACTAAAAACTCATTTAAAGGAGTAGTTAAGCAGATGTCGCCCCGTCTTATTTGTTTATCGCTTGTTTTAGTATTGGATATTTCAGTTTAATTTACTTTAGATAGTTCTCAAATATTTTTGATGAGTTGTTTTTTGTGGTCTATATATTTTTCATGTGCGGTAAACCTGTGGCGACTTTTCTTTTTTCTCGGAAAACGGAAGTAGGAGTGATAATATGCGTTGCCTGTTTTTTGAAGCTTTATCGCGTGGTCGTATTTACCACATTTGTACAAATAGCTAATCCTGCGTTGAATGGGCGCTTTAAATCGAATTTATCCAGGCAAATATTTGTTTTGCAACGATTGAACTTATTCCAAGTGTGTTTATACGTACACAAAATACGCGCATACACGTATAGGAAAACAAAATTGATTTCTCTATCATTTTATCATAATAAAAGTCGTATTTGGAGTTAAAATAATCGTAATTTGAAATGGTGGAATATGAAAATTTCTCGTGGTTTACCATGAACAAATAGAACTATTTATTTTCAATTTGTTTTTATCAATTCATTTCATTCATAAACCGTACAACTACAAACAGTTGCGTGCAAATATTTAACATATCATCAAATATTTGATACCGGTTTTTTTTTGTCTCAAAATTAACTAAGAAATTGTTCCATAATGTAAAGCTAGCAGAAAATTACATGAAATTAATATTTAACAAGAAACTTTGAAATTCAATTTTCTTAGGTATACCCACAATCCTCCTGTTTGTATTTATAAATAATAATAATAATAAATAATAATAAATTATCATAATTATAATAATAATAATAATCTCTCTGTTTTATACATGTTGTCCTGTAAGTAATGGTACATAGCAAAATAGTTGATTCATTAGGTAAACATATTATGATTTAAAGAAACTTACCTTAGTCTAAAAGTTGATATTAACTGAGATAGGTCCAGGGTGTTAAATTTGGATTTTCGTTTTTGATTTTTTTCTTGAAATACTCAAGGTTTTTGCACAAAATTTGGCAATTCGGGGTTTTTTGATATGAGAAATCCATTTTCACGAATGATTTTGGGTAGATTTTGTAGAAGGCGCTAGGTATGGTACTTTTCGTGCATTTGATGCTTGCTAATTTTTTTGCGCCCTAATGTATGCAGATTTTTAATAAAGACAATCACTTCTTACACCTTTTTTACTTAAAAAAGGTATACCCTTCGAATTTCGCCCCGAGCCGCTGTTTTTGAAAAATTTGGGTGTGAAATTTTCAATACAACACTAATTAATATTTAAAATTTCATTTTTTATGCCATGAATTTTAAAATAACGTGGCATGCATATAACTTGAGCTAATATGTTAAGTACAGACCTTAACCGCATTTTTAATATTATTAATTTTGAGATTTTCGACGTCAATGAAGGGAATTTTATGAAAAATACATTTTCAATTTTAAACTAAAGTTAAATAAAAAAAATATTCATAAAAAAAACATTTCTATTCGGCAGTATATGTTAAAAATGATTTCCATTCACTGTAATGCGTTTAGGCACGTTTTTTTGAAAAACTGCTTAATTTAAAATAATGATTTCTCGTTTCGAAATGATTCAGCGACATTTTCATTCTTGTGTCATAATTAATCTCTAATATGAACCTCCCCTTCAAATACTAGCGACTTCATATACCCCCAAACAAAACAATCAATAGGATTGAAATCTGGACTCCAAGGCGGCGAAGGTCTTTGACTCCCACGAATAATCCAACGATAAGAAAATTGCATATTTAATCTGTAAACATTTTTTTTTGCCGGATCCGACAAGAACGAGCAAATTTCAATCTGGTTAGAGGATTACCCTCTAAAAGATTATATGCAGGAGTATTTTAGTCATTTAGATTTAAAATTTTAAACACTTAAGCATAATAAAACAACTGCCAAACTGCACATTAAAGAGTGTGAATGGAAAAAAGTCTTTTAATAATTTTGTATACAAATCTACTAAAATACAATGCATTGCAAGAGAAACAGAATCCTACTTTCTTAAGCCATATATAAATCGTATACAGAAATTTTGGATTCTTTTTATTCTGTTTTTGCTGTCCACTTTGAATCGGAAACTGTAAACATAATCTTGTAATTAAAATGTGACAATATTAAGGTTTCACGCAAAGTTTTCCTTAGTTTGAAATTTAAAATATGTCGGTTGCCGTAAAACATTTTTAGAAGCAAAGAAAAATGTTTGGAACGTAATTTCTAGATGTTGCTTAAACCTAAAATTGCTATCGATTACTATTCCCAACTAAACCAATTTTAGTATTGCCTATATACACTTCATCGTTGCTTTTAAGAAAATTCACTTTATTTTTGCTCCCAAAAATCATAAAAGCGGTTTTCTCAGGGTTACGTTTCAAGTTGTTTTTTGTAAATTCTCAATAATAAATCTAATAGCCTCCAAGAAATCTTCCGTATCAAAAGAAAAATAAATTTGTTTATTATCAGCGAATGAGAATGAGAACGAGTCCAAAATGGAACTTTGCGAAACCCCAGATTTCAAGTGCACCTTAGAGTAAAGGTGATATTTGATTCCAAAACACTACTTTCATTCAGTATGAGTTTGAAAACAATAGTTCAAATAATTTTTACTCTCGGTGCATTTATTTTGTCAATGTCAATTTATTTTTACTATCGTCTAAACAGTATTATTTTAAATGTAATCAACGATTGACATTGATAAATAAGTTAGAATTTTTTTTATTATTACAATTTACTAAACTGCAGCTACATTTCACTGTAAGACTTTTTTTTCAGGTAATTGACGGAAACTCGTATGATTCTTCTTGCAAATGGGACGAACTGCTAAAAGGTAAGTGTTTATTTCGTGGTTTTGTTTGTTTTTTTTTTAGATAAGTGTAAGTAAATAATGCAACACCATCATTTCGCTTTCGACTATTAAATATCAACAAAATAACTTTTTCAGTTTTGAAATATTTGAAGTACTCCTAAAAATTGATTCTAAATGCGAGGGAAATTGTAATTTTATAATTTCCCACTATTCGAAGTTTGAATTATCTTCTTTTAATGGATTAGCGGTGATATTTTGATCATTCTCGACTTATTGTGAATAAGAATTTTATCCATGCCACGAGTAATATCGATTCGAGTCGTAGAACTACGGGCTATGTGTGTCAACTGAAAAGTATAAACCATTATAATGTGTATCGCGGAAAATTATCGTTTTTTTTTTACTTCTTATTTGGTTTATTCTGATTTATTCGGCACGCAAGCTCGAACGCACAATAATCGCAACAAAAAGAAAACGGTTCACACTTTCGTTTAACGACATAATGGTGAGAAAGCACTTAGATCGAAAGATGGCAGGTTTTAAATCTCAATTAAATTAATTCATTGCATCCTTTACAACAACAAACGGCGGCCGTAACGGTCGAATACAATGATGATTTTTATGGCCGTTTTTCTACTTTGAATTGAAATTAATTTACCTATACCAATAAATAATGCATGAATTTGAATGGGGGGATTTTTAACACTGCATTGATTAGGAATTTGTTTAGAAATCCAGTTTACAATGGGGCCATACAAAGTTTAGACGAGTCATCACCTCTAGAAATACAATGCGCTCCGAGGTTTTATTTATAAGCGTCTAAAGGAATGGTAAATTATCCGGATTACGGATAAATTTTTCCATTCGGAATTTCTTGGAACTACCCTACAGAATGGGGTACCTCTATGGGGCAGTACATGCGCAAGAGTAATTAAAAGCATTCAAATCTTGCAGAAATGTATAAGGAAAATCATTTATTAAAAGGCGAAAAGGTAAAGTCTGTTCATAGATATAAGAAAGTGGCTAACGGATACGAATTAAGGAAAGACCCGGGCAAGCTGTAAGAATTAAATATGGCCGAACAGGTCCGTACTTTACTTAGAATTTAATTATTTGTAGTTTTGTTATTAAAGATACTAAACAATATTTATTTATTTATGTATGTATTTTTCTTTAAATCTAAAATAAAATTACAAATTATTTTTACTACCTACTTAAATTACTTAAAATTATTCACATAATATATCAGTATCACTATCGCTATCATCGCCTGTTGATAACTATTATTTGTTCTGTTTTATCAGCAATATGGATATAAGATTGTTCTGCTTTTTCTTTATGTTTAACAGAATTTGCCCAACTTTGTGGAGGGATGTTAAAAACCTCGGTTTCTATAAGTTTGAGGACATTGGAGTTAACACGGGGAAAACATTGTTACGACGAATTGCAGATTTCAGTTGGTGCCAAACATGTTCAATGGGATTAAATATACAGTGGTAAGGGGGAAGCACTAGATTTTTTGCATAATTATCACAGACGTATTCCTTTTGTAGGTTCAAGCTTTAATAATAATATATAATATTCTTGAAAATAAATGTCGTTATTATACATGTAGTTTTGGATTGTTGCTTTTGTGTCACATGATTAAGGGGTTTTAGTCAACTGTCTACTGTGATAACTTGCATTGCACATTACAAAGACAATGTTAGGAGGAACGTTTGGAACTAGTTTGTTTTTAAACCAACGTTCAAATAAATCAGCGGTGGTGTCTTCATGGTAATCCAGAGAAGAATCTTTAATGTTTTTCGCAGACAGAGAAAGTCCATTTGGAATCCAACCATCTTTAGAGCCAGCATGCAAAATAGTTATTCTTTTACCTCTTTTTGATGGCGCGTTTGTTTTACACTTATCAGTTGAGTCAACCCAAACTTTCTCCAGGGTATCATAAGTGTCGAACCAGATTTCATCCAAGTAAATAATTGGCGTTTGTTGTTCTCTGTAAATCGTATTTTTTTCTAGATATTGCAGTCGCCATTTTCGAATTCTAAAAGATTCTATTAAAACTTGCCTTTTGTCAATCTTTTTAAATCTAAAACCCATGTGTTGAATACACTTCTATAAGGTAGTTCTGCCAGATTTAACACCGGTTTCATCTTTTTCAAGCCTCCTAATTAGGATATCTAATGGAGGCACGCTTTGTTCCTCGTATAACTGGCAAATTTTACGCCGTATTATATTTTAATCACTTTCATCTACACTTGAGAAAATGTCAGCATTGCTTCCGTTTTTCCTCGCTGAAATGGGATTATTCACAATTTTCCATACAGTTGATGTTGGAATTTGTGGCCGTGTCTTCTAAAGATGCTTGCTTGCTGGCACCACGTTCAATGAGATTCAAATAAAGATTGTTTATAACTTCCTTAGTCTCAATAGAATAGTGTTTTCTACATTTGAGCGGGAGCATCTCCTGAGATAAACTATACTCGCACATATTTTGCATAATTCGCATACGAACAATGATTACTAATAAACTTAAACTAAGTAGTATACGAAACCAAAGAATATTAAACACAGGGAGGTATAAAATTATTTTCTATTACGGACCACATTTTTGCCTGAATTTAAATTCCGAAAGTTTAGGTAATTTTGTTGCATTGTATGTTAATGACCACCCTTGGATAATCCCATTCAAAAGCAATTAGTCACTTTCTTATATCTATGAACAGACCATACTCGACTGAACTGTGATTTATATAGTCGGTACGTAAAACAGAAAAAATCTCCTCAGCAAATTCTGTAGATGCGGTAATTCTTTCCTAATTTAATTTTTAACGTATTACAAGTTAAATTTACCAGATTATCAGATATTTAATTTTACGGCGTTATACGAAAAACTCCTCCGAAACATGGCATAAATTCCAATTGATTTTTTATTGAGTAAATCTCTGCACTTGTATTATTATGATTATGCAGAGCACTAATTAATTTCATTTTAATAATATGGGGATAAACAAGTCTGTATCCAGTGGCGCTGGTGTCAAAGATATTTTCACGTTTTCTTCAATATACGCAAATCAGTTTATAAAAATTAAGGAGAAATCCAATTACACGGGCGATTTCAATTAGACTCGTCATCGGCCTTTTAATAAACGGACAATGGTCGGTTCCCGCATTCCAATATGTCGGTATTCAAAATTTGACACTAACGGGTGCCGCATTCATAAGCGTTTACCGATAAATTGCCGACAGATTTCTGCATTCGATATTAAGTAGATAACTATCGATCAGTTTCTTGGCCGGAATTTTGAAATTTGAATACGTTTATCAAATTTTATACCTCATGAAAATTATATTAGATTTTTTTTTGTAAGTACAGTCGAAACTCCATATAACGAAAATGAAGGGACTGCTTTTTTTTCGTTATTGGTATTGGTATTAAAGGGGGGCGCCCTCGAGGGTGTCCAAGCACTTAGGCGACCAGATGGGCCCGTTGTGCCCCCAGGCCGCGCTAGAGGGCGTCCAGAATGCCGCCCCTCCTATAGAAGGTCAGCAACTCCTTTAGCCCAATACCGTGCACTGAGTCCGGATCGATCAGGACCATTCCGAAGACTCCCAATCTTGCCCATGTCAAGGCAGGGCACTCGGTGAGCAGATGATACGGGGTCTCCTTCCTGTCCATGCACCACCTACACTCCGGGTCGTTTCCAATGCCTAGCAAGCAAAGATGCCTCCTAAGCCTGCAATGTCCTGTGTAGGCCCCTGTTAGTGCTCTACACTCCCTTCTGGTCAGTCTAAGCAGGTCCCTGGTCCGAGGGAGGGGGGGCCCATCCATCATAAGCCTCGCCTGCCTCATTCCCGGAGCAACTCTCCAGCCTCCCGCGGCCCGGTCTCTCGCCCAGGCTCCCCGCCTCACACACGGGGCGATCCCCAAGCGGGGCTCTGGCCCTATATGCCTACGCGAGGAGCCCTCTCTGGCTAAGGCGTCCGCTGCCTCATTGCCCCGGATACCGGTGTGACCCGGAACCCAGACCAACGTGACCTTCCTCTCCTCAGCCACTCTCCTCAGTACCCCTTTGCGCTCCTTTATCAACAAGGTGCGCGTACGCACTGACTTCAGCGCCATAAGTACACCCCTACTATCCGAGCAAAAGAAGACCCTCCTGCTTCCGTGGTTGAGCCGAAGCACCTCTCTGGCCGCCATCAATAAAGCGAAAATTTCCGCCTGAAACACAGTGCAGTACTGACCCAGAGGGACCGACAAGCTCGATCCCGTTGTCTCGCAGTAGGCTCCAGCTCCGGCCAGATCTCCCATTCTGGACCCGTCCGTGTACCAGACAAGTCCATCCCAGGAGCAGACTCTGCCCTCTCTCCACTATTCCCTTGATGGGAAGAGAAAGTTCAATTTGTCAAAGAAGGTCTTCTCGGGGATCATGACGTCACTCGGCATGCCCATGACCCCGCGATCCCCGTTTTTTTCGTTATAAAGAATTTTCGTTATAAAGAGTTGTAGGCACTCGAAAAAAAAACAATACGCATAAGTTTTCTATAATATTTAGATATTATTACTTAGGTACATTTTATGTAAATATTTAAGAACTACATTTAATTTTCCAAATAATCGCATCTCGTGGTTTGGATTGTATTTCCGCCATAAAAAATTTCTCTAGCAGCTTAGCTGAATATAGGGCTTGTTGAATGGTAGGTGGTATTCCCAGATCAACTTCTTCATCTTCTTTTTCCTTTTGGTGCTCTTCCTCACCCTTTCTTGCTTGTTGTAATATGGTTTCCTCTATCAAGTCTGCTGTTGTGGGCAAATGCTGATCTATCACCATAAAATCTTGCAACTCCTCACTTGTAAACGGAATTGTTGTGTGAAACTGCTTGCATGACGATAGGAGTGTTGAATTGTTTCTGCTGTCACCTTTTTCCAAGCTTTACTAATAAAGCATCTAGCATATTAATGGAAAATTTGTGTTCGGACTCAATCATTTCCATTAAAATGTTGTTTGTGATCCGTGCAG